AGGTAGGGAGAGTGGGATGTTTGTGAGGTAATGGTATTAGAGGTGATAATTGGGGAAGCTATCTTTGTAATGTGTAAGATAGTTGGGGTCTTTGTTAAGTCCAGTGTGGAGAGTGTCGAATTTTAGCATGAATGCCAGTTCAGAGGATTCCCTTTCAAGTGCAGATTTGAATGTCTTCTGAAGTAGGATGCAGGTTAGCAGGTCATTGAGACTGTGTCCTTTCTGGTTGAAATGACAAGCAACTGTTTTTTCTTTGTGATCCTGTCTAATGTCTGTTTTGTGGGCATTGATTCTTTGGCGAAGTGTCTGAGACGTTTGTCCAATGTACATTGCAGACAGACACTTTCGGCACATGATAGCATAGATTATATTTCTGGAGGCGCAGGAATATGTATTCTTGATCTTATAACTCACTTGGTTAGGCCCAATAATGGTGTCAGCAGAGTGAATATGTGGACAAAGCTGGCAGCGGGGTTTGTTGCAAGGGAAAGTACCAGGGTTGGTATTAGTGTGGTATGTCCTGTGGTTGTTGGTAAGAATCATCTTGAGATTAGGTGGTTGTCAATCACAAAACTGCCTTATTCTTCATGCCCCGGCAGGATCTTCTAATGATGCATTCTTCCGAGAAAAAATTACAAAACTAATAGTCTTGCAGCACCTTAGAGTCTAATAAAACATACAGATGGTATCATGATTTTTCATGGGCACAACCTGCTTCTTCAGATGAATGGAGTTATTAAAGGTCCAGTTTCCAAATACAGTAAAACCTGTGTTATCCAGCATGCCCGGGGATTAGGACGTGCCGATAACCAGAATTTTTAGGTTATCTGAGGGAGGGGGGACGGGAGCCGTACGGGGCCTACAGAAGAGGGGTGCCAGGAGCCGTGGGCAAGCTGAGATGCTTGCTGTTGGCTGTCATTCGCCTCTCCCCCAGGTAGCTACACTCTTCTGAGGAGCAATCCAGTACTTAAAGGGATAGTTTATTTATTTATTTTTGCTTTTCCCGGCGTCAGAAATTTGCTGGTTTCTACAGTTTTTTGGATAGGGTGCCAGGAGCCGTGGGCAAGCTGAGATGCTTGCTGTTGGCTGTCATTCGCCTCTCCCCCAGGTAGCTACACTCTTCTGAGGAGCAATCCAGTACTTAAAGGGATAGTTTATTTATTTATTTTTGCTTTTCCCGGCGTCAGAAATTTGCTGGTTTCTACAGTTTTTTGGATAAAAACTGTTTGGGAAACTGATTCTCTCTTACTTATCTGTCAAGTGTTTAGCATTGCTAGTACAACATAAAACAAACCATCACCTACCTGTAAAAGCCCGATTTCTCGGCATAAAAGGGACCAACAACTTTTTAAACATGTTAAGGAATCATAATACAGCCTTGGATTTGTTGGACAGGAGCATGAGTGATGACATGGTTAAGACTTGGCTCTCTCCTATGTATACAGTATTTTAAAAGCCTCAGAGTTGTAAAGAAAACACCAATATTTTATATAAGGACATGTCTACACTAGGAAATTATTTTGAAATATCTACATTTGAAATAATAACTCCTGAAATAACGAATTTGAAATAAGCTTATTCCCCAAAGAAAGCAGGAGTTAGTATTTTAAAATAACCAGCCTGTTATTTTCAAATGACAGGCTTGGTAGTGTGGACGCTCTGCTTATTATTTTGAAATAA